TGCCTTATGTATCTGGGTGCTCCTGCATTGGGTCCATATATGTTTAGGATCGTTAGCTCTTCTTGTTGTATCGATCCTTTTACCATTATGTAATGGCCTTCTTTGTCTCTTTTGATCTTTGTTGCTTTAAAGTCTATTTTATCAGAGATGAGAATTGCAACTCCTGCTTTTTTTTTGCTTTCCATTAGCTTGGTAAATCTTCCTCCATCCCTTTATTTTGAGCCTTTGTGTATCCTTGCATGTGAGATGGGTTTCCTGGATACAGCACACTGATGGGTTTTGGATTTTTATCCAATTTGCCAGTCTGTGTCTTTTGATTGGTGCATTTAGTCCATTTACATTTAGGGTTAATATTGTTATGTGTGAATTTGATACTGCCATTTTGATGCTAAGTGGCTGTTTTGCCTGTTAGTTGTTGTAGATTCTTCATTATGTTGAAGCTCTTTAGCATTCAGTGTGATTTTGGAATGGCTGGTACTGATTGATCCTTTCTATGTGTAGTGCCTCTTTTAGGAGCTCTTGTAAAGCAGGCCTGGTGGTGACAAAATCTCTGAGTACTTGCTTGTTCGCAAAGGATTTTATTCTTCCTTCACTTCTGAAGCTCAGTTTGGCTGGATATGAAATTCTGGGTTGAAAGTTCTTTTCTTTAAGAATGTTGAATATTGGCCCCCACTCTCTTCTGGTTTGTAGTGTTTCTGCCGAGAGATCTGCTGTGAGTCTGATGGGCTTCCCTTTGTGGGTGACCCGACCTTTCTCTCTGGCTGCCCTTAGTATTCTCTCCTTTATTTCAACCCTGTTGAATCTGACGATTATGTGCCTTGGGGTTGCTCTTCTTGCGGAATATCTTTGTGGTGTTCTCTGTATTTCCTGCAATTGAGTGTTGGCTTGTCTTGCTAGGTGGGGGAAATTTTCCTGGATGATGTCCTGAAGAGTATTTTCCAGCTGGGATTCATTCTCTTCGTCCCCTTCTGGTACACCTATCAAACGTAGGTTAGGTCTTTTCACATAGTCCCACATTTCTTGGAGACTTTGTTCATTCCTTTTTGCGCTTTTTTCTCTGATCTTGGTTTCTCGTTTTATTTCATTGAGTTGGTCTTCGACTTCAGATATTCTTTCTTCTGCTTGGTCAATTCGGCTATTGAAACTTGCGTTTGCTTCCCGAAGTTCTCGTATTGTGTTTTTCAGCTCCTTTAATTCATTCATATTCCTCTCTAAGGTATCCATTCTTGTTATCATTTCCTCGAATCTTTTTTCAAATCTTTTTTCAAGGTTCTTAGTTTCTTTGCATTGATTTAATACATGATCTTTTAGCTCACAAAAGTTTCTCATTATCCATCTTCTGAAGTCTAATTCCGTCATTTCGTCACAGTCATTCTCCGTCCAGCTTTGTTCCCTTGCTGGTGAGGAGTTTTGGTCCTTTCTAGGAGGCGATGTGTTCTGGTTTCGGGTGTTTTCCTCCTTTTTGCGCTGGTTTCTTCCCATCTTTGTGGATTTGTCCGCTGGTCGTCTGCGTAGTTGCTGACTTTTCGTTTGGGTCTCTGAGTGGACACCCAGAATGTTGATGATGAAGTATTTCTGTTGCTTGGTTTTCCTTCTACCAGTCTAGCCCCTTCACTGTATGACTGTTGAGGTCCACTCCAGACCCTGCTTGTCTGGGGTGCACCTCTAGTAGCCGTGGCACAGCGAGGGATGCTACCAGTTTCTTTTTCTGCTCTCTTTGTCCCAGGATGATGCCTGCCTAATGACAGTCTTTTGGATATAGAGGGGTCAGGGAGCTGCTTGAGGAGACAGTTTGTACTTTATAGGGGTTTAATTGCTGAGCTGTGCACTCTGTTGTTCATTCAGGGCTGTTAGGCTGCTATGTTTGATTCTGCTGCAACACAGCTCATTAAACAACCCTTTTTTTTTTCTCAAATGCTCTGTGTTGAGGGGTTTGGGCTTTATTTTTGGATGTCCGATCAGGTGTCCTGCCTAGCTCGAAGACAGACTAGCCACTGTTTGGCTGCCGAGGCTCCGCCCTGCTGTTGTGTGATTCGTGCTGTTCCTGCCGGCTCTGCTGTGGTCTCCGCCACGCCCTGCGGTGGAGTCTCTTCGTTGTAGCGTGTTGCCTCAGCAACGGCTGGGTGCATCAGCAGTGGGCGTGTATCTCAGTAGGGACGGGTTGCCTCGGCAACGGCTGGCTGCGTCAGCAGTGGGCGTGTATCTCAGTTGGGGCGGGTTGCCTCAGCACCGGCTGGCTGAGTCAGCAGTGGGCGTGTATATCAGTTGGGGCAGGTTGCCTCCGTAGTGGCGGACGCCCCTCCCCCACAGAGCGTCTTGGACCGTCTGCCCGGGATAGTTTGAAATCGCAGTTTTGTTCGTCCCACTGGGTATCCCAAACGATCTGTCCCTGCAATCCCCTGGGCTGGGCTACTGTGCAAGTCTCATTCAGTCTCAAGTCCAGCCCTCTCAAGTCTCAGGCTGCCGGATCAACAAGGTACCCGGACAAGCGCGCCCTGTGGAGATTGCTGGGTAGGGCCGGCCGCCGCCGCCCCGGCTGCCAGCTTCGCCAGGCAGACCTACTGCCTGGCGTCCCATGTCTTTTTATACTTGGGAGTTTCCCCATTCTGTGGGCAACAAAGATCAGTCTGGAAATGCAGCACTGACTCACCGTTTGCGGATTCAACGCGGGCTCCAATCCTGGGTTGTTCTCACAGCGCCATCTTGAGTCCCCTCTCAGTTAGTTCTTCTCGTTGGATTGATTCTTTTACCATTATGTAATGCGCTTCTTTGTCTCTTTTGATCTTTGTTGGTTTGAAGTCTGTTTTATCACAGACTAGGATTGCAACCCTTGCTTTTTTTTGTTCTCCATTTGCTTGGTAAATCTTCTTCCATCCCTTTATATTGAGTCTATGTGTGTCTTTGTATGTGAGATGGGTTTCCTGAATACAGCACACCTATGGGTCTTGACTTTTTATCCAGTTTGCCAGTCAGTGTCTTTTGATTGGGGTGTTTAGGCCATTTACATTCAATGCTAATATTGTTATGTGTGAATGTGATCCTGCCATTTTGTTACTGGCTGGTTTTCTTACCTGTTAGTTGACTTCGTTTCTTCATTGCATTTTTGGTCTTTGCCATTTGGTGTGCTTTTGCAGTGGCTGGTACTTGTTCCTTTCCATGTTTAGTGTTTCTTTCAGGAGCTCTTGTTAGGCAAGTCTGGTGGTGATGAAATTTTTCAGTAGTTGCTTGTCTGTAAAGGATTTTATTTCTCCTTCACTTATGTAGCTTAGTTTGCTGGATATGAGATTCTGGGTTGAAAGTTCTTTTCTTTGAGGATGTTGAATATTGGCCCCCACTCTCTCTGGCTTGTAGGGTTTCTGCTGAGAGATCCACTGTGAGTCTGATTGGCTTCCCTCTGTGGGTGACCCGAACTTTCTCTCTGTCTGCCCTCAGCATTTCTTCCTTCATTTCAACCCTGGTGAATCTGACTATTATGTGACTTGGGGTTGCTCTTCTTGAAGAATATTTTTGTGGAGTTCTCTGTATTTCTTGGATTTGAATGTTGGCCTGCCTTGCTAGGCTGGGGAAGTTCTCCTGGATAATACCCTGGAGCATGTTTTCCAGCTTGGATGCATTCTCTGCATCACATTCACATACACCAATCAAGTGTAGATTAGGTCTTTTCACATAATCCTGTATTTTTTGGAGGCTTGTTCATTTCTTTTCACTCTTTTTTCTCATCTTGCCTTCTCTTTTTATTGAATTGAGTTGATGATCTTCAATCTCTGATATCCTTTCTTCTGCTTGATTCGGCTATTAAAACTTGTGTTTGCTTCACATAGTTCTTGTGCTGTGTCTTTCAGCTCCATCAAGTCATTTATGTTCTTCTCTAAGCTGGTTATTCTAGTTAGCATTTCATCTAACCCTTTTTCAATGTTTTTAGTTTCTTTGCATAGGGTTAGAATGTGTTCCTTTAGCTCAGAAAAGTTTGTTATTACCCACCTCCTGAAGCCTGCTTCTATCAACTCATTGCACTCTTTCTCAGTCATGTTGTGATCTCATGTTGACGAGAAGTTATGATCCCTTGAAGGAGAAGAGACATTCTGGTCTTTGATGGTTTCATCTTTTTTGTGCTGGCTTTTTTCCATCTTCATGGATTTACCTGGCTCTGATCTCAGGGAGCTACTTGATGAGATTGCTTGCCTGCCTGTGGAGGAGCTAGTGGGTTTCCAGAGACTCTTTCAGGTTACTAGGTAGGCTTCCTGTGTCATTTTTGTTCACACTAGGAGGTTAGGCCCACCTCTTCTGCTGACCTGGAGGCAGTGCTGGGTGGTCAAGAACACTGTCCAGTTGCTACATAGTCTTCCTGTGTTTTTTGTTAAAACACAGGAAGCCTAGTCCCTCCTCTTTAATGGTGGGTTGGCCTTTCTTCTACGGAGCTAGATCATTCAGGGTTCAGCTCAGACTGAGGCACTGGCTGCGCAACCTGCCAGAGTTAGCACTTCAGCCCTCTGGGGTTTGTGGAGGAGGGCAGGGACCCGCCTGGCAACACCATCCATCTCCCTGCTTTCAGCTCTCTCTTTGTCTGGGCAGGGGGAGGGGGCGATAGCTCAGTCTGCAGGCTCTCCCAGTGGCTTATGGACTTATGCATTTGCTTAGATCTATGCGACAATCCAGGACACCATCCCGGATTATTATTCAACTCTGCTCTCATAATTACTGGCACTTGACTGGCAAAGCTACCCTGTTCTGTGTATTGCTGAGGTTTGGGGGGAAGCACTGTATCTGGACTGGGGTGCCAGAGGGGGAGCCTCCAACTCACTGGTCAGATGCACTTTCTGGGTGAAGTAGCACCCCTTCCCACCTTGGTCTGCTCTGCCTGGGCTTTGCTCACCATCCGACTAGACCCATTGAAATGCACCTGATACCTTGGTTGGAGCTAGGAGATCTCTCGATTTCTGCATCTCTCTTGCTGGGTGCTGTGCACCAGAGTTGTATCTATTCAGCCACTTTGTTCCCCTGAAAAAAATGTTTTAAAAAACATTTAGCAGAATTATGCTTTGTGGGCCACATATGTTATTGGTTCAAGTTAATACAATCAGGCCTTATAAGGTTAGTTTTCTGTGTTCCATTCTAAAGAGCATAAATATTAAATGCTTATAAAACACACTTCATAGTGCTTTAAATACAAAACACAATTTGAGCACAGAACAATGCATTATGGTCTCATGGATATATGTACAAAACACTGTAATGAAAAAACAGCCTCAAGTAAGTAGATAATACTATACAACTCTTACTCAACAAATGACATTTTAAACAAAGGGAGAAAAAGCCCAAGCAATATTAATTAGTGTTGTTCTTTTAGTTGTATTTAATATGATTAAAGAAGAAATTTTCAAATTCCTGGTAGTGGTATTAAAATTAAGTCACTTTTAAACTGGATTAAAAATGACACTAAGTCTTCAAAGAACTTAATTTTGACATTCTAGCTGAAAGAAACTTTTGACTTTCTAGCTGACAATATGACCAAAATATACAAGAGTGCAAATCACAAGTGACAGCACGGAGATGCCCCCTAAATGTTTCACATTTTGTATGGACCTAGGACAGTGTTCATTGATACAACATGTCATAAAGTGCACTTTCTTGGCTCAAAGACAAGCGTAGAAAATCATGATTCTTATAAGCTCTCTCATAAAGTCCAAGAACAAACATACTCAACAACAAAAAAATCTAAACTGTGCACTTTTGTTTCCTAAAAGAGTATAAATCAGATTTTTAACCTATATGAGAAAATTCATTGTTACAACTCTGGTAGCTGTATCCATCTTTCTGTTCAGCTGAATGGATGAAGCACAACAGCCACAACTTTGTTACAGACTAAAATCCAGCAGGCAATTCCAACACCACCTGCTACTCTAGTAGGAAAGACTACCCAGGCAGTCTAGCTGGGTTATCCATTTACTCGGCACCACAGCCACAGGGACAAAATAATACCTCCAAATGAGTGAGATCATCAGGGCAGCCTGCAAAATGTAAAAAGCAACACTTATCACCTATTTTATCTTGCCTAATAGAGCTGTCCAAGCTTTCATGTGAGTTTTGAGCTTATCCGTCATCTTGTTGTTCTTTCTTTCCAGCCTGGCATATCTGGCAAACTCATCCATCATGTTGACCATGGACAGCTCCTGCTTCATGTCCTTGATCGCCGTTCTCATCTGTGACTCCTCCGCATCCTTGTGCAGCACCCTGGACATGAAAGACGAGAAGGACGGGAAGAGGATCCTAAGAATACTGCACCCAAACACGAAGCTGATCACCAGCAACCAGGCCCAGTGGTGGGCCCGGGCTGAGCTCATCCGGGTCGCTCCTGACTGCTGGGTCTGCTACAGCAGCTCCATGGGGACCACGGCTGCACGGCACATTGCATTTTTTTTTTCCAATGTCACATAGTTCTGCTCTGATCTTGGTTATTTCCTTTCTTTTTCTGGGTTTAGGTTTGGTTTGTTCTTGTTTCTCTAGTTCCTTGAAGTGTGACCTTAGTATTCCAGTTTGTGCTCTTTCAGTCTTTTTTGGGTAGGCTTTTAGGGCTATAAACTTTCCTCTTAGTGCCACCTTTGATGTATCCCAGAGATTTTAATTGATTGTGTCATTATTGTCTTTCAATAATTTTTTAAATTTTTATCTTGATTTCCTTTTTTACCCAATGCTCATTCATCAGCAGGCTATTTAATTTCCATATATTTGCATGGTTTTGAAGGTTCCTTTTGGAACCTCCCAGTTGGAAATTGGAGTTGATTTCCAGCTTTATTCCACTGTGGTCTGACAGAATGCTTGATATAATTTCAATTTTCTTAAATTTACTGAGGTTCATTTTATGGCCTATCATATGGTCTATCTTGGAGAAAGTTCCATGCAATGTTGAATAGAATGTGTATTCTGTGGTTGTTGGGTGAAATGTTCTGTATATATCTGGTAAGTCCATTTGCTCCAAGTTATTGTTTAAATCCATTGCTTCTTTGTTGACCTTCTGTCTTGATGACCTGTCTACAGCTGTCAGTAAAGTACTGAATCCCCCACTATTATTGTGTTGCTGACTATCTCATTTCTTAGGTCTATTAGTAATTGTTTTATAAATTTGGGAGCTTCAGTGTTAGGTGCATATATGTTTAGGATTGTGATATTTTAATCTGCTATTAATCTTACATGTTACCTAGTGCTTCTGTCTCACAGCTCTTAAGATTCTTTCCTTCATCTTGACTTTGGGTAACCTGATGACAACGTGCCTAAGTGAGGATCTTTTTGCAGTGAGTTTTCCAGGTGTTCTTTGTGTTTTTGTTATTTGGATGTCTAGGTCTCTAGCAAGGCTGGGGAAGTTTTCCTTGATTGTTTCCCCAAATATGTTTTCCAAGCTTTAAAATTCTCTTCTTCCTCAGGAACACTGATTATTCTTCAGTTTTGTCATTTAACATAATCCCAGACTTCTTGGAGGCTTTTTTCACTTTTCTTATTTTTTCTTTGTCTTTGTTGGATTGAGTTAATTTGAAGACCTTATCTTTGGGCTCTGAATTTCTTTATTCTACTTGAGAACCTGCCCCAGAGTACCCACCTCCCAGCTGCAAAAGGTAAGGGCTTGGTTCTTTCCACACCTGTGGAATCTGCACACTGGATTTGTGCTCTCCCCCAAGTTCTGGCCAGGAGGCTTCTCACCCAGTTCAAATTGTTACAAAGTTCAGCTGGAGGCTTCCTTCTCTCAGTGGCATTTTCCTCTGTGCCTCTGGCTGCCCTCCAGAAGGACCTCTGTGGTGCCAGGCAGGAATGGCTGTTCAGGGACCCAGAGAGCTCCTAGGGCCTTTCCCGCTGCTTCTTCTACACCTGTATTTCAGTCTGCTCTCTAAATTGACTCAGCTAAAGGTAAGTTCAAAAACTTCTCCCACAAACAGACCCTCAGTTTCCCCAGGGCAGGTATGTGGAGAATCTCTTTTTCCCACTTCTGCAGTTGGGGCACCTACAGTATTTGAGGTGTCTCTCCAGGTCCTGCAGGAGCAGTCCATTTCTTTCAGAGGGTCTGTGGGTCCTCTCAGGATTCCTGGTTTCAAGAATATGATAACCTTCTCATTGACCAACAGACTGGCTGCCTGCAATAAAATTCAGTTTGAATTATTTTTTCAATATGACAAATTCAAAGAAGTTTGTATTTTCTGACACATTTAGAGTTTTTCTGTTTCCTAGAACATAAATTATATTATGAATTTATTTAAATCTGAGCAGCCTAAGAAATATGCTTTTATTCTTATATGTAAAATTCGGATATTACTTATGATGTTTAAATAGGATGGCCTATTAGTGATGGGCCACACCTTCTAACCATTTATAGGCTGTTAAGAAAAAACACTCCTTATTTATAAAACACTTAAGTTCTTCAACACTCTTCTGACATATGGAGCTTCTTTATTATTACAGACTCACATTATCAATTATTCAGTTTGTACATTAGCATGCTTTAAAATTTTTCTTCTTGCCATTGCCTAACTTTGGACCATTTCATTATTTACTTCTTTTTGCAAAGAGAATAATAGTAGGCAACAACAATAATGTTGTTAATTTTTAAGTACAATAAAACTGTATCTAGTCATACACTATTATAATATGTATATTAGTATATAATTAATAATATTAAAACCCATTTCTTTTGCTTTCTGAGATGTCTTAGTAAAACATTTTTGTGGCCCAATATTCAAGCTATTGTGACATTTTGAGGTGATCAGGAACACTTATTTATTCAAACATCTCTATATCTTATAAGAGAAATAAAATAATTGACTATTGCACAAAGAAAACCATCCTGTAGCAATTTCTCAAGGTCTTTTTAATTACTACACTTTGAAGATATTGCTTTGAATAAATATGTATCAGAGCTTGAACATTTCTTTAAAGATTCAGTTTTATTTTAATGATATTTACTTGAACAGAACTTTAACATATACTAATTACATTATATTTGTCTAGTGCAGTACATGGATTAAGGTTCTTGCTTACATGATCTCATGTGAACCTGGAAAAGGTTTTAATTAGCTACCTAAAACCCCTTTAATTTATAAGAGATAAAAACAAATAGACAAAATGACCACTTTACAGACTCAGAAGCTAAAGCACAAAGAGATTAAATATCTTGTGCAAATACCACAAAGAGGTTAAATACCTTGGCAAAGATCCCAGGGCAAGAGTGCATCAGAACAAGAAGTAGAATCAGGTCTCTTTACTTTGGATAACTTTCTTCAAGCAGTTTCCAAGTAAGATTTCTGAACTTGAATAACTGGATCAGGTGAACGTTTTTCCTAATGGAATGATTATTCTTTGCACAGTAATTCTTTCAGGAAGTCTGCTTTAGAATACAAGTTTGATTGGCTTGAGACAAGAGATACTATACAGACAAATCTATAGATAGCAGGTGTCAGGGTGGAACTAAAGGGGCTTCATAAGTGTGAAAAAACAAAGGCAAAGAGAAAGTATATTGCAGATAAGATGAATTGAGTAGATAGTGGATTATGTGAAAATTTGTCTTTGTTGTTGAGGTAGAAGGAAGAAGATTAGACGAATCATTCTCTTAAGGTCTATTATAGTTCTTAATTACTTAATGTGTGTAACTTTTAACTTGTATTATGTTGCTTACAAATCAGTAGGGAAGATTATCTATCATAAGTGTTTTATAAATAAGGACAGTTTTTTTCTTACCAGCCTATCAATGGTTAGAGGGGATCCAGAGAAGGTAGTGGCCCATCACTAATAGGCCATCCAACTGAACCCAAGTCATCATGTGGCCCTGGAGAAGTTGGACACTTCTACAGGTCATTGGGAGAGAGAAGTGTGGCTGAAAAATGGTACAAATGGTAAAATTCCTTTTCTTTACTTTGCAGGTTGCCCTGAGACTTGAGCACTAATGGTCCATTGACTTTTCAGTTGGAAGGGATGTGTTCTTAGGATAGTCACCAGTTTCATTAATTTGGATGATACTGATTTTCTTTCTCAAAGAAAATAATATTAAAACATCATTAATGATATTCTCATTAAGCACTGGTTAGAACATGGGGTCAATGAGCCAAATGTGGAATTAATTCCCATGGAAACTAGTAACTTTAGCAACGAGAATAGATGAAGGACTGTGCAGAGGACAGAGCAAGTCTATTTCCTTGGGGAGAATGGATCTTGGGCTCTGGCCCCGTGATAGTGTCTTGGTAGAAGGAGGCATTTCTTTATACACAAGGAGATATCTGACCTTTTTAAAAATATATATATTTCTTGGTATAATCTCAAAGACCATTTGGCACAAGATCCAATCCTTCCAACTTCTAAATTTAGACACTTTGGAAATGTATCTTTTTAAAAAATAAGGTGTGATGCTTTGTTCTTAAAACTTAGCAAGTGGCCCACAAAGGGGGATACTATCACCCTTCAGAGTGCTATATAACAACACAAATGGTGTGAAAATGCTAAGCACATTTACTGGGAACTAAAACTCTTCAGCCTTCCCACAGGGAGTTCTGCTTGTCACTAGTAAGTAGAATACAAAAAAAAAGGAAAAAAAAAAACAAAGTGAGCACAGCATGTAACGTAAGAAGGCTTTGATAATCCTCAAAATGGAACCAGAATATCTATAGTACATCCAATTACAAGTACAGTTAACCCTTGAACAACATGGGTTTGAATTGTAGGGCTCACTTATATGTAGATTTTCTCCTGCCACTCAGACAGCAAGATGAATCCCTCCTCTTCCTCCTCCTCTTCAGCCTGAGATGAGGATAAAAACCTTTATGATAATCCACTTCCACTTAATGAATAGTAAACATATTTCTCTTCTTTATGTTTTTCTTAATAATATTTCTTCTTCTCCAGTTTATTTGTTAGAAGATACACTGCATAATACATATACAAAATATGTGTTGACCAACTATTTCTGTTATCGGTAAGGCCTCCTGTCAACACTAGGCTATTAGTAAAATTTTGGAGGAGTCAAACGTTATACACAAATTTTCAACTGTATGGGGGTGGGCACCCCTAACGTCTGTGTTGTTCAATGGTCAACTGTATCAGTATGACCCCCAGTTCAGATCTATTTACCAAAGTCATAGTTACCAAAAAAATTTAAAGAGCTTTATCTCACAAAAAGTCTCTTAAAATAAGTTCTTCTCATTAGAAATGTAATTCATGAAATTTTTCTTACAAACACATTGTTGAGTTAAAAACATAAGAAATCTTTCAACAATAGGGCTCTGGGTTGTGATTTGGTATACTTAGTCAACTTTTTATTTAAAAGAACAGGCCTGGCACAGTGGCTCACACCTGTAATTCCAGCACTTTGGGAGGCCAAGGCAGGCGGATCATGAGGTCAAGAGATCAAGACCATCCTGGCCAATATGGTGAAACCCCAACTCTACTAAAAACACAAAAATTAGCTGGGCATGGTGGTGCACACCTGTAGTCCCCCCTACTCATGAGGCTGAGGCAGGAGAATCACTGGAACCCTGAAGGCAGAGGTTGCAGTGAGCCAAGATCACACCACTGCACTCCAGCCTCAAAAAAAATAAAAATCATTTCTGTGGTTTCTTTTAGCCATCTGTGCTAGTCACATATGCACACACACACACACACACACACATTCAATTATAAACTATGATACATGCAGCCCCAGCTATGTGTCACGAAATAAATGCTGAAACTTTTTGCCAAAAGAATACAATGTATTATATATACATATATATGTACACATACATATATATATTATATTTACTACTTTACATACATACTATAATATAATAGAGTGCTCTGAGGCATTTTCCCGATGCTTCTATTCAGGGATGCTTTATTTGATAAGGTAATTATAAAGTCTTCAAAGCCAAAATCCGTGAGATTTTACAGGCTCAGGTCTTCACTATGATGAGTCAGACAAAGCGGCATAAAAGACAGTGAATCACATTGTGTCAGAGAAGATGAGAAGCTTCAAATGCTATTGCCTCTTGTCAGCAATCTACAGCAAGCCAGCAACACCACAGCAAGAAAGCCACTCTATGGTGTTGTGTTTGGACTCGAAGACAAAGATGTGAGCATAAATAATTCATAAATTTGCACCTTGAAAAGACTGAGTAATCTTGAATATTGTTGATTGGCATATTATTCTGTCTTGTACGAGCTTTTCACTGATATACTATCAAACTAAGAGTTCCCTCTGAAATAGTAAGGCTTTTTAGCTCACCTATGAGCTAAAGATTTTATGTGGTATTATCTCATCTTGCTCTCAGCTATCTCTCTAATAAATAGAGACTGACATTCGTGCACAGCATGCTTTGCCATCTCGTGTTGATGCATTTAATCTTGATAACACTCCTGTGAAGTAGGTGAACAGCCTTCTGTAGTTGCTGTTACTATTTATCTCTATTTTAAAAGCCACACAACTGGTAAATTCGTGAATAAACTCAACAAATATTTTTTAATGTCTTACATTCAGTTTTTATTATTCAGGGTACCACTGGACATTCTGTGCATACCAGGAATTATTTGATAAGAAGAAAAAAAGACACTGCCTTTGTCCTCATGGAGCCTACAGTCCAGAAGGATCCAGACATTACAGAACTAATCACAAAACAAATGCAGAATTATAGCTGTGCTCACTGGTATCATAAAGGGTGACATGATTCCTAGGAAGCACATAATCAATTGACCTAAATAGTCTCTGCTTTTCCTGTGGAGTGATGTGGAGGTGAAGGCTGCATATGAGTCAGAGTTTTAGGGTAAGGAGGTGGCAAAAAAGCATATGCAAAGGCCCTGTGGCAGCAGCAAGTGTTCTGTGTGAGAGATGGGCATGAGGGAGCAGGGGCATGGTCTACTATGTCTTGCATCCAGTAGGTGTTTAATATCTACAGCATTAAAATTAAAAGTATATACAGTTTGCTCATTGATAAACATTTACAAATAGAGGCACCATATGGTCGGAGATGCAAGTGTAGGGGGTTGGTGGGGACTAGATCCACAGAACTTGTGAGCCAGGCCAAGGAATTTGTACCTTTACTAGGACAAGGTTTGGGGTTCTAAAGAGAAGAGCAATGTGGTATGGTTTGTCTTTGAAGGGATAT